ATCTTGGACATGTTTTCCCGAAAAGGAGCTGGATAAAGAGCTTTGGTCAGGACATCTGCAAGTTGATTGTCTGTGCGAACATACATGGTCTTGAGGATCCCTAATTCAATGCATTCCCTGACTTTGTGGCAATCAAATTCAATGTGTTTCGTACGTTCATGAAACACTGAATTGTTAGCAATGTGAAGAGCTGCAGTGTTGTCACAATACAAGTAAGCAGGGAGAGTAAAAGGAACCTTCAAAGCCTTTAGAAGAGCACTTAACCATATCAATTCTTTAGTAATAACCGACATGGCTCTGTATTCTGCTTCAGCAGAGCTCATGGAAACAATATCTTGCTTCTTGGATCTCCAGGAGACTAAAGAATTACCAAGGAACACTGCAAAACCAGTAACTGATCTTCTGGAATCACGACATGTACCCCAATCAGAATCTGAAAATCCTCGAAGTGTAAAATCTGCATCTGTACCATAAAATATTCCTTGACCAATAGTACCTTTCAAATACCTCAAAACTTTATGAATGGCCTGCAAGTGAATCAGCTTAGGAGCACTTGAATACTGAGCCAACTTTGAGACAGTGAAAGTGATATCAGGTCTAGTGATGGTAAGATACTGCAATTTACCAATCAATCTGCGATACTGCTTGATATTTTCAATAGTATCACCTTCAGCTTCAGAGAATTTCTGATTTGGCTCCATAGGAATGGAAGAGGGTTTGCAATCTGAAAATCCAGAAGATGCCAACAAGTCAAGTACATATTTCCTCTGACATAAAGAAATTCCCTCTGCAGTCCTGGCGATCTCAATACCAAGAAAAAATTTTGGTTCTCCTAAGTCTCTGAGTTGAAAATAACCACGCAGTTGTTGTGTAAGCTCAGATGCTGCAGCCTCAGTAGTACTGGCAATGAGAATATCATCCACATATACTAAGACCACCAAATAATTGCCATTACTGAACTTCACAAACAAGGTGTGATCACCATGACATTTCTCAAACCCCAAACCAACCAATGTAGTAGAAAATTTAATAAACCATTGCCTGGAAGCTTGCTTTAGCCCATAAATAGACTTGTGCAGTCTACACACGGCATTAGGAGAGACTTCTTCACCTTGAATCTCTGCATATCCTGGTGGTAATTTCATGTATATTTCCTCAGCAAGGTCACCATTTAAGAAAGCATTAGAAATATCTAATTGGTTTAAAAACCATTGCATCTTAGGTGCGAGGGATAGAAGTAATTTCACAGTCGCCATCTTGGCAACAGGTGAGAATGTATCTATAAAATCTATACCCTCTTGCTGAGTATACCCTTTAGCCACCAGACGTGCTTTATACCTTTCAATGCTTCCATCAGCTAAAAATTTTATGGTAAATAACCATTTGCAACCCACTGCAACTTTCCCAGCAGGTAGATCACATATACTCCAAGTACCTGTTCTCACAAAAGCACCAATTTCCTTTCCCATAGCATCATTCCATTGTTTGTCAAGCCGAGCCTCTGAATATTTTTGTGGTAATTTTGTAGTGGTGATAATATTAATAAAAGCATTAAAAGGCTCAGATAAGTATGAATAAGAAATATAATTTGCTAAAGGATAAGGAGATGTTTTAGTGGGAGTCTTAGTCCTAGTAGGAGTATTATTATAGCAATGAAAGTCCTGCAAATGGGAAGGCAGTTTTCTCTGCCTAGTAGATTTAAGTTCAGAAGAAACAGAAATCAAGGAGGATGACTCATCAG